AACCTTCAGGTGTGATACAGGCCAGGAGCTTCCTCGTTGTGGATAAAAAAAACAACAGTATTTTAATACCACAAATTATCAGGAACAACATAATGCAGTTTTATTTATTTAACGAATTGATCGCGAGAAATCGTACAATTCTGCATAAAACTTCTAAATATAGAGTATTTTACAACTCAAACGAAAGCTTTACTGCCTTAGCTGTTGTTGAAAGCAATATGAACCGCTTTCAAACGTATGGCTACAAACATCGATAAATATAAGAGAAAAACCATCAATACACTAATCTAGCGCTTGCCGGCAGCGCTTGATAGAGAGCTAAGGGCTGATGCAGACGAAGATTCTTTGCATTGCCTCGTTTGTAAAAGGTCTGAAACGCTCTTTGATTATGACCAAATGGAGAATCTATCTCCATTATTTGAAAGGCAAGCGTAACACAAGCACTGTCTTCTTCGACTCTCTCTCGCTCATGCCACATAATTTTGACTAAGATGTAGTTTGTGAAGTTAGGTAGGGCGGTAGAGATAGAAGCTAGGCTCTACTTGAAAACTTTTTCACGGTGACAAATTTTACATGAAAATGATTTTGGTGGAATATTGTTTACACAAATTTAGTTTTTTAGTTTAATTAGCAATATCACTCTACTATTCAGTGTAAGAGCAGTCGACTTACAAGAAATAAGTAGATTTTATTTTTTCAAATGAAAATAGTTTTATGACATGCCTAGCCTACCTAAATTATAAAGCATTTTCGAAGTCATTTTTCAAGCTGTCAGCTTTGCTTATTCTGATTACTAGCAACAGCATATTGTGTCACAGTTAGGTCAGCAGTCAAACCACACACATCTATGCGTCTGCGGTCAGCCTTACAACGCGTCTGGACGATATTGTACAGTCGATTAACGATCCGCGTCTGCAATCAGCGGTCTATGGTATGTACTAGGCCTAAAGTGCGCACGATGCACGCAAAACTTTACTCGCCAAGTTACTCGTACTACGAGTAGGAATCCTACTCTATTCCTAGTGTGATCGTTCGCATCGCTTAGTTCTTAGAGATTTTATTAGAGCACTATCACGTTTTGAGTGTTCCGTACCTAAAGGGCCATGCCAGTTTGACCCTATTAAGTCTGTTCATCTGTCATATCTTTGGAACCATAAAATGTAGATTTGCATTCAATTGATAACTATAGCGCTAAAACGCGTCAAACATAGCATTCTATAACTCTCACTAATACTTTCCAAAAGACCTATCATTTGGTGTCTTTATAGTACATTAACTAGGCGACTAGCCGATGATCCTCCGTCTGCAAAACGCTAGGTTTCTAATTGTAACTATCAACCCCAGTAGTGTCCCTCAAGGGACCTGACCTGGATCAAATAATTACCGACGAACATTAATTCAAGTACTACTATAAAGTATGAATAAATCATTCTTTTTCTAGGGTCCTTTGTTATAGAGCTCCTAATTACCTATCAAGCAGACAAAGGAATAAAAAATGAGAATGCTCTCATGCAGTTTTAGGTTGAGAAATAATAAAGCCGTTCGCCTTTCTAGCGAAAAATTAAAAAGTCATTACTGATGCGGATTATGTGCCTCGGACACAATAGAAAAAATAATTCTCTATGGCCGGCGGGCACGATGAAAGATAATGTTATCTTCGTAATATCCGCGATCGCAATTAATGTTAATCGGGTAATATGAGTATAATTAATGGTTAGATAGCAAGATTATTTTAGAATCCGTGTACTACGGTAGCAAATCATAAAAATGAATTAAGAGATTTAAAAAAAGAGGCACCGGAGCTCTCCTCAAGTCTTTTATTTACGACAAATAAGAATTGTTTTTAACTAGTATTAAAATGATCGTCCTTATGATATTCGCAAATTAGCAACAACAAAGCTCACGTATTCCGTATCTCTGTGCCGTACGTGCTGCGATCTCGTGAGAACGAACGATAAGCATAACCCGGGCCTTATTAAATGAAGTTATAAATAATCTTGATAAATAGAACCGATTATGAGCAAAATACCTACATGTACCGACCGGTTCGGGACTCAAATCGGCCGGTAATTTAGTTGATTAATAAACCATCATTAAAGCATACAGAAAGTTTAGCATAGATTACCACAATATGCAAGTAATATAAGCAGAAATTACTGGTTTCCTGTCCGCGGTCCACCTAAATGCAAATCCAGTCATTGGTTACCGGACAACACTTCCGTGGGCTGTCCTGGTAGAGCTCCCAATATTCAGATGAGGTACTTTTAGAGGAACTAAAAAATTAGCGCATGAACCCTGAACACGAATAGCTCGTCTTAATCGTATTCTTTATACAACCAAGCGACGTTGTTTTGTTTTGAGAAAGTTTATCCTATCCTAGGCTACTGAATGAGTATCAGATAAATCGTATGATTTTCTTCAAATACCTACCTATCTACGTCAGACAGGTCGTCAATGTCGTCATTATTTACTTACGAGCAAAAGTATGGAATCGTATACCCTTGTGCTTTGTTCTGAGCGATATGTTAAGAACTTAATGACCATCAGTAATATGTTCAAATACCTTTAAATTGGTACCATTTCTTATTTATCTTCTATTAGTTCTTATAATCGCTCAAAACAAATAGGGTGGTTCCATATTTTTGCTCGAGACTTTAGTACACACGTAGACTTCCTTTCAGGCTTTCAGTTTGGTTCAGTAAACAATGAATGCCAAATGGGAACATTCGTGGCACCATCAATAATGGCGGAAAGTGGTGAAATCACTGAGATGAATCGAACAATTGGTTAAATTACATTCTGCGAATGTTAATCTGATTTAACATGCTTCGTTCGAGTCAATAATGTTTACTGTTCACGGTGTTACCTTTTACAAAATAGGCACAATGTAGGTACACGCAATATACAATAATTGGACATCCTTATATCGTAAAAAGCTCGAGTAGTTAGCAATAAATGCAAAGTCAAAATGTAAAACAGTAGCCGTAAAGATAATTAATGTGAGGTTACTAAATTAATTACATAAAAAATGTTTCTCACGATCTTTAGGTCTATAGCTTTGAGATTATTTTCGTACTAGATTTTACCTCTAAATTCGCATTAAGTACCATATTTCAAACGAAGATCACATCCCCAAATAATTTCATGAGATAGGTCCAAGTAGATAATAGCTCCCAATGAAATTCAGTGTACGACCGGGTACTAGAAATACTTAATAGTACCTACTTAGTTCTTAGTGCCATAATTTTGCGTCTATCGACAAAAAATTTCAATGTGTATGTAATGTAAGTAACACAAATACCTATGTCTGCATTAACTGTAGAGTGTAGTACACCCTTAAACTTAGTAGGTAGTAGGTACTTAAACTTAACATTGTAATTATTGATTGTAAGTTTGTTAGTTGAATGTAAAATTAACATTTTTATTTCTAAATTCAACTCATAAACTACAAGAAGCTACAATTTCAGCAGACTCGGTTGGATGCCCTTAATAACCCTCAGTAAGTAGGTACATGTTTAGTCCAATCAACACAACCCTTCCTTGTTTTTATTTGTAGGGTTTCTTTATTAGTTTTTACTGCGTAATGTAAGACAATTACCTTCTACAAAGTAGGTACGCAGGGTATTACGTAGGGTAGATATTGATTTTGTATTACCTCGACCGTCAGTTGTATGGTTAAACATTACAATGTAACTGAGGATGTAGCACTAAGTTGTGACTAAGTTCAGAGTGAAGGCTATTTAATACGTAAAATGGTGTGATTTTATAAAAAAAACTTTTACCCCCTTAGGGGTGGAGTTTCGTAAAATACTTTCTTAGCGGATGCCTACGTCATAACATCTACCTGCATGCCAAATTTCAGCCCAATCCGTCCAGTGGTTTGGGCTGTGCGCTGATAGATCACTAATGTCAGTCAGTCACCTTTGAGTTACTCGTATTATATTTAGATTTAGTCCACTGCAGGAGAACTACCCTCACTAATCTCCATGGTAAATTAGAGAGGATAGAGAGGTAGGTAGTAGATGATAATAATATTACTAAGGTTGGGTTGCACCACCCAACTTTAACCGTAACTTTTTTGTATGGATTTTGATAGCTTTTTGACGTTTGTCAAAGTTAAACTAAAAAGATGCAACCCAGCCTAAGTCTAATTTCAACTAGTTACAGCTACTTTTCTGATCAACTCCATGCGTCATATAATATTGTCACGGAAGAATGAAAAAATCCCTGATCATGGTCACAGCGCAGAAAAACTATAATTCCTAGATCTACTGGTAGTGACCATGAAAGTTAAAACAATAACGACGTAGGTAGGCCTATGTTACAAAACAGTACCTACCTAAAGCCATAAAAAGATAGGTCTTAGTTTTTTTACTAAGTAGGTACTGACATACTACTCGTATAACCTTATTTGTTTAATCGGTCTATTTTCTATTACAATTTCTTACAATCATTTGCCTTTTGAGTTGAAGTCACACAATAATTAACCATACAAGAATCAATACAAAAAGTTAACCATTGCAAACACAGTCGCATGTTCGTTAAAAGCCATAAAAAGATTAGACAAATGGAAGAAGAAACTCGTTTTTTTTATGAATAAAAGGATAAAGTATTCTGAAACTCGTTAGGAATCGAACCTTGACCGCCAGGTGTCACGAAATAAACAGTTTCATCCAAACTTCATCTAATATCGTTAGTTTCGAATACTTATTGCAATAATAATATCAAACAGTTTGCGATCTTAAAAATATTCCGAAGGCTTTACGTTCCGCCATTGAAATAGTTAACGCAAAAAAGATCTCATGCCTTTCAATAAAAAGTTCCGGAAGCATACAGTTACTCCAAAAAGTTTGAATTAATTTTTGACATTAACCTGTCAGTCGCAGTTGTAAATAAACTATTTACAACTTACAAAAGACTCGTAACCTTTTAGTAATGGGAGACGTGACGAGAATTAAATGTAACACTGAAGTACCCACATAAAAAATTAACAAACTCACCTTCGTTCGAAGAGTGCGGGGGTACCTCCAAAAATCCAAACAATCACTCAAGAAACTGCCTGACACAGATCCATTAATTAGTCGCCATGACGGCTCACGCAGATTCAAAATTAGAAACACAGCACTGGCCACTTCACAGCACAGAGAAAAAAAATATTTTCACGAAATTTTCGGTACACTTTGCGCGCGAAAACGTCGATCGGCGTGCGCGCGCGACGCGCGTGCCCCCCTCCTGCGCCGCCGGGTGACTGAGGCTCGCAATAGAGATGAGACGTATTTACTAGAACAGATCCACACACTAGGTATTTTACAGTACTAAGTTGCACCTATTCCAATTTTTAAAATACTTGATCCACCTAGTATTTTTTAAATTACACGATTTCCGACCCTACCATCAAAGTAATAGAGGTTATTATTGCATAATCCGTAGTCGTCCACCTAGTATTTTTTAAATTACACGATTTCCGACCCTACCATCAAAGTAATAGAGGTTATTATTGCATAATCCGTAGTCGTGTATTACGCGCACCGCGTATTTCTCGCTAAGCTTATGTGCGAACGTAGAGATTCACTCCGTCTCTGTCTGACAAACAAATTTGAGCGCAGGCAGGTGTGAGATAGGAATAGCCTGTTGAAGTATGAAGGGAGGATATCAATAAATCAACAGCCAGCAAAAACATTATTATTCAATTTCAAATTGCATTATTAATAGCTACTACGGTTGTATCTTTTCAAAGAAAATTGTATTTTAAAGTCATAATACGTGGATTAGTCCGCACTAGTCGCGTCAAGTATGGTATAATTACTACGTACTAGGTGGAATAGGTATTTGGATCAAGTATTAATAAATACTTGGAATAGGTGCACCTAGTATCAAATTTACCTAGTATAACCCATCTCTAGCTCGCAATTCAAAACACCAACAATTACACGGCACCAATTTTTGCTAACGACCTTTGTTACGGTCGAGATCGTATCGACGTAGATTCAGCAACAGCTTACCTAATTTGAAATCTTATGTTAACGAGTTAAGAACTGCGATTAGGATATTAAGGGTAGGCAGATTCTAAGAAATACCTATGCAAATAACATAATGAAATACATTTTGGCTATATATCACCATATTCACAATAGGACTACATACTTACTTGATACAACAATTTGAACAATTGACATACTTTTTAATGAATTACTTAAATAGATGCGATTTAAAATTTCTGCCATACCTAGATTTGTACAGAAATAAATACAAATCTAACTGAAATTTTGTAACTGAAAAGTAATCGGGCTTTCAGTGAAATTGAATAGTGAGATTACAGAGAAATTGCGTCTTTATTCTTTAGTATAAACGGGATCAGCTAGGTAGAAAAGTTTACCCTGACTTGAAATAAACGAATGTGGGTAGAAAGAGAAGTTCTTTACTTACTTATGTGGGTCAGTTCAGAAACAGTTAATAAAGTAGCCATTTTGTTTCATGGCGAATTTAATAACTGTTTCTGAACTGACCCACATGAGTAAGTTAACAATGGGATGTGAGATCTTGCTGTCGTTATGACGAAACCATACCATAACTTTGCCCTAAATAAGTCAATGGTAATGGGCAATAAGTGGCCTACGCCACGTGTGTCTAAGTAAGTGTCTTATTGTATTCCTGCTGAGGCCATAACGATTGTTTTACTCACCTATTTGACATTAGGTATACTCAGCATAAATTCCGAATAAGGCATGCATATGGCGCAGATAGCAGCGGAGTAGAAACACCTAAATCAGCCATATACGGAGATGAGTACAGCGGTAATGGACACGATTCTCTATCCAGGGCTAGGACCCACATTAGAGTTTTTGTAGGTATGTTAGTTATAATCTGGGTGAAGACACTCCTTTGCCATAAGAACACGGTTGTGATCGAGTTAATTGAAGAAATGACTTACTATTCGAATATTTCATAATTTGTGGGTACGTTGATAAATTTTATTTACGTCGCAAAGTTCTTAACGGACATTTAATATTGATAGCTAGGCAAAATGCAGTGTTGTTTGCCAAAGTTACAAAAACTACGGTATTTTACATGGAAGTTCACTCACTTAGGCTAGGCGCAGAGCATTGATTTTTCGTCGGCCGATAGTTTAGTCGGGCAGTTGATCAGTATGGGCATGTATGGAAGTGCGCACATTACACCGATTTGATTTGGCCGATTCTTCATACAATTTAAAATCGGGCACAACTATCGGCCAACTAAAAATCGGTGGTCTGCGCCTAGTCTAATCATAATTTTCCACAATCTCAGCCTTTGAAAGGACAAGAAACATAATTGACTGCCGATGATACTATAAAACTCTCTACAAAGAATTTGGTGAATGGAATTTTTAGACACATTACGGCACCATCTGACCGCTCATGACTAACCAGTGTACGAACAACGGGTAATATGTGGGAAACCGGTGAGCTACCCCGATCGCCGACAAAACGGACATCCTCTTCCGTGGAGCGGTAATAACATGCAGCCTTTTGTTTATGAGCATCCAGCGGAGGCTGCTGTGCGAACATTGTATAGTCCGTGCCACAATTTTGCAAATTAGCCCATTAAAATTTGAATCCGAATAGGATCTAAGTGAGTGCAAAAAGTATGTTAAAAAAGTTGATTGCTGAAATGCTGAGTGAAAGAGTTCCAAAGTAAGGACAGAAAGTGGTTTCAATGAAGTTTCAATACTTTTTATCGTATTTTACTTAGGTATTTACAAAATATTGAGGTACCTAGTTTATTGGAGCGGATTATACGCGGTGCAATTTGGTGCATAATATTATGCGATAAATGACGTGCTTTAGTGTTAAGCGGTCGATGAGACTCAGTTTCATAACATAGTTTTGCTGCTCTTGGCATTTAGGTAGTTAATATCCTAGGTTATTTTGCAAAGCGTGTAGGACACAAGATAGAAGATACACCTGTATGCCTGTATCTAAATGCGTAATAGAAATCATCACACTAGGTAGGTAGGTATTAGATATTTTCATGCACACAAAAATGTTTGTATAGTACGGGAAGCGAATTGGCTACCTTCGGCAGCGCAGGACCGTTCATTGTGGAAAACCTTGGGGGAGGCCTTTGTCCAGCAGTGGACGTCATTTGGCTGAAAAGGAAGGAAGGAAAACGGTAACCACATCCGGTCAACGTAGTAGAGCTCGCTTCCGGAGCATTGAGCGGCGCGAGCGCACGCAAACTGACGACTACCCGCAATAATCAGGACTAGCATCAAGTCAACACATGGTTATTGCGTTTTATTACCGTTAAGTTTGACACCGCGTTTTAATGAGTCCAGTTTTAAATGTCCGTCATAGCAAGTACTCTACTTCACATGAGTGATGAGTGTGTAGGTAGGTAGTACACAAACCAAGATTGTTTGAACTTTGTGATTTATAATTGTTGGGGTTATTTATTTGGGACATCAAGCCACATTATCTAGACGTGGGCAGTATTCATTCTATATGCAGAAAATCATATCGCGAAGATTACAAATTCAATCAAAAATAATAAAAAGTTTTCCCCCACTTATCCTGTATTGTTTCGATAGAGGTAAGTAGACACATATTATATTATCTAAAATCAACCGCTATATTCAAGAAGACATCCTCTAATGCAGAATAAATCGTACGAATTGATGCTCTGGAGTGTGGCGAATTTACAATCGCGTCCATTGCCCGCGCTGACTCTATTGCTTTTTGATTAAACTTGCGGCTTCCTACTTGTCGTTATGTAGATCTCAAATGTGGAACATTCATGTGATTCTAAGAAAAGGAGCAGCGTTCGATTCTAAGGTTTAATTTTTACTATCAGCTACTCTTGTCTTCGTAGTTTTTGTGGCAGACGTAGTGTGGACAGACCCCCCACTAATAGGTGGACCGACGATCTGGTGAAGGTCGCCGTAAGAACCTGGATACGGGCAGCGCAGGAGCGGTTGTTATGGAAATCCTTGGGGGAGGCCTTTGTCCAGCAGTGGACGTCATTTGGCTGAAACGAACGAACGCACGAGCTCTGTCTTCTTGAGGTCGATGTTCCATCGAACAGAAAGGCATTCAGTAAGTACCTATCCTACATGGTAGAGACGAGAAATCTTTAACATGTGGTTGAGGTGAGACGTCATGTCGGATTGGTCGGCTAAACGATACACCATCATCTAGGTAAGTAGGCACAACAAGTTTGACGTGAGAACACGAATGTAGGCGCGCGGTCGGAACGAAAGCGCCAAGTAGAGCGTGACTGCTCTCATTGAACGCCCTGCGAAGGGAATACTATGCCGTTGGGTTGGCACTTGGCAACAGATGTACCTAGTACCTGCCTCTGCAACCTACCTGCTAACATAGGTACTTTATCGTCCGTAGTGTGACTAAAATATGGTTCTCGTAGCATGAAGGCTTATATCGTTAGCTTTACATCAAACCCTAGTGGTTTTTAAAGCTATCTAAATGTAATTGTCTCAATGTAACTGTCTTTAAGTTGTTAAATAAATTTAAAAAAAAATTGTCTATCTACTAGGTTTTAGGCATCAAACCTCGACAAGTTTTTCAGCTATAAAACTTCAATTACAAGTAACAGGTAGATCATAGTCCACTATGTATAAGTTCCAACTTACTAGCCCCTAACAACTTTGTACTTAGTCTTATGATGACGAATAAATAATCATTTTCATTTTCAGGAAGGAAACTTTAACTTTCCCCTTGATCATCGCTGGTTAGGTTTAATTGGCAATCAAGATGTAGGTCCTGACTACACAAGAGGTGGGAACGAGAAGTGGGTGGTTTTTGAATCGTGAAAAGAAAAAACACTTTGGAAGAACTTTGGATCTTTATTAAAAGTATGGTTTTTCGCTTTTACTACGAAACCATGGTAGCGAAACTGATCAATACACACAAATTCTTGTTAATTTCCACTTTAGAAACGTCGTAGAATAAATGTAGAGGATTTGTACCTATTAATAGTTTTGCTCTCATGATTTCACAGTAAATTGTTGAAAATTTAAAAAGTACAAGAGTACAGTATGATTTTGGCGTTCTTCCTTAGCTGAAGAGAATAGAGTATACAAAATCTAAGTAAAGTCTAGATACAGTTGTGACAAACTATATTAAATCAGTCTCCATTAAAATAATACGTAGGATTACGATTTGCGGAATGCAAATGTTACTTCAACGCCAAATAGTTACAAATAAATAATTAACAATTAAACATAACAAGCTATAAG